ATTCGAATAACTTGTAAGTTAATGTGTATAGATTTCATACATATGCGGTTGTTTGTATATATTTTTTTATATAGTGCTTATTAGTACTTTTCTAATGCCGACTGTTTTGTTTGTTATGGATTATGAAAAATAGGAAGGAAATCCTTTTCAGTCGTGTTGATGGATTCGATTGCTTGTATAGAAAGGACACAGAGACTTTGGCACATGGGAAATGTGTGAGTGTGGATGTTATTGACTGCTATGCTGCCTATCTGAATCGGGAGCAAGTGAGAAGAGGGCAACTGAAAAGATGGGTGTTCTATTCGGGCTGGCGGTGAGTTACATTTTCTGCTAGTTCTGTTTTGTTTTAGGGTTTTTGTGGTGTGCATTATAATAGGTCTGGTTTGGTTTAAGGGTTTTGTGTTGTGCATTATAAGACGTCTGGTTTGCTTTAGGGTTTTAGTGGTGTGCATTATAATACTTCTGGTTTGTTTTAGGGTTTTTGTGGTGTGCATTATAATATGTCTGGTTTGTTTTACTGTGTTTATGTTGTGTTCTACCTTGTAGCAAAAAGTGCAGTGGATAGTGAAGAACTCTGGACCACTGCCTAATTTTTTTGAAGAGACTGATGAAATTATTACAAGTTGCAAGTGGATACCAGATGGTTTGGATTTCTCACAATGTGATTATGTATGTATTTTTTTTAGTCAGATTTGCTACATTGTTTCATGTGTGTTTTTTCTTCATTGTGCTTTTGGAGTACTGACTTGTTTTTGTTTTGCATGCAGTGGATGTTCCCCCACTGTTCTGATGACCACAACAGGATGTATGTAGTGAATCTGAAGAACAAACGGTATGATTATCTTGACAGCCTTTACCCTGACGAACTTGATACCAAGTTTCGTGCTGTTGCGGATATGGTGGTCCGCTATGCCACAGAATACATTCCTGCCTGCAGAGAAGAGCCCTTCAAATTTGAAGAATTCAAGTGGGTTAGAATGCGAGGGGTGAGACAACATGGTGGGGTTGACTGTGGTGTTTTTGCTATGAATTTTGCTGAGTTTTGGGATGGCAAACTGCATCCATCTATGAGGAAGTGGCAAAAACAAATCAATCAGAGGCGGGATGAGATCACATTAACATTGCTGCTGAACAAGGAGAACAGTGTACTTGAAGAGGTGAAGAAGAAGAGTTTGGAGTTTGATCGCAAGGTGGACTAGCTGATTTTAGCATGCATTTGCAAGAACAGTTTCAGATTTCAGTGTGTTAATATGTGTTTTAGTGTGTTAATGGTGTTGATTAAGAGGTTTTGTGTTCGTCGTGTATGGTGTGTATTATAAGACAAGTGGTTTGTGTTAATACATAAGTGGTTTGGTTAATGAGTGTTCTGGAAAGTTTCCATATGTTTGTGGTTTGGTTTTGTTAAGAGGTTTCGTAGTTTGTTTTCTTTCCTGTATGGTGTGGTTTGTAGTGTTTATGGTTTGGATTAGGTGGTCTGTGGTGTGGATTGTAGCGTTTTTGGGTTGGTTTAGGTGGTATCTGGGTTGTTTACACTTGTTCGATGTGCATTGTGGTGTTTATGGTTTGGATTAGGTGGTCTGTGGTGTGGATTGTGGGGTTTTTGGGTTGGTTTATGTGGTATCTGGTTTGTTTAACCTTGTTCGGTGTGCATTGTGGTGTTTATGGTTTGGATTAGGTGGTCTGTGGTGTGGATTGTGGGGTTTTTGGGTTGGTTTAGGTGGTATCTGGGTTGTATTCAACTGTATATGTGTTGATCAAATATTATCAAAACCTGCAACTGTTCATATTTGTCTCATAGTTGTCATTGAAATCTAAAAGTTTATGACAGATAAAAAAAAACACGGATAACAACAAGGAAACTAATCACTCATTGTTGCTTTTGTAACGCTTGTTGGCGGCATGTTCATCAATTCTTTGCTTTCTAGCCCTCTCCAGCGCTACCTCAAGTCCACCTCTTGGCCTCTTCTTTGATTTCCATGGGTCTTTTCGAGCCTTGAATCCCTTCACATTGGCATATTTGTCATTTGTAGCTGAAGCAGCAGCGCTTTGTGAGGGTGATGTACTGGTGGTTCCATCTGTTGAAAAAGCAATATGCAAGATACTGGTGAACATAAGTAGGGATTAAGCAATTAGTGGATTGGATTAAGATGTTTATGGTTTGCATTAGATCATTAGTGGCTTGGATTAAGCAATTACTGGTGAATATAAGTAGGGATGCTAACAAGATGTGTGAAATTACCAGGTACTGTTTGCTGAGTTTCTTGAGTCTGAAGGCTTTGGAAAGCTAGTTTAGTGAGCTCTGCAATCTTCTCCTTAACCATTGAGAAGACCTTGTCATTCATTGAGACTTTTGTTGCTAGGATAACCATGCTAGCACACAGTTCTTGATACCTCCCTGCATAAGTATCTGTTGCAGCACATTCTGTTGTGTTTATTGTGAACTTCTCTCCAGATTTGGCATCTCTCGTCCATCGTGGCAGAATGTATTCCTTAGGGATAGTCAATTGCTCAATATCATCACCATTGAATCCAACCATCTCTATCTGCCTGATTACATGTCTGCACAACCAGCCTGAACTTTCAAACAAACGACATGAGCACTTGTATTTCTTCTCCTCTTTGTTCACTAACACGACTCTTTTGCCGAATCCTCCCAGTTTCTTCACTTCATAAGCTGTCATTCCATCTCTAGATTCATTCCGGAACACAAAAAAAGCAAGGCTTTCTGAATACTCCTCAAGGAAAGAACTGTAGATCTTAGTTGTGTATAATTTTGCGACTTGCTGAACAAGTGGGCTTCTGTCATACCTGTTGGAAGATGACATACAACATACAATCTTTCATAAAACATCTTGTCTACATTAATGATTTTATGGTATGTATTGTACTGTTTGTGGTGAGGATTGTGGGATTTATGGGTTATTTTAAGCCGTGTGTGGTGTGGATTGTGGTGTTTATGGGTTGTATTAGGTGGTCTGTGGTGTGGATTGTAGGGTTTTTGGGTTGGTTTAGGTGGTATCTGGGTTGTTTAAGCTTTTGCGGTGTGCATTGTGGTGTTTATGGGTTGGATTAGGTTGTCTGTGGTGTGGATTGTAGGGTTTTTGGGTTGGTTTAGGTGGTATCTGGGTTGTATTCAACTGTTCTGTGGATGCATTCTACAGTATAAAAAGTTCAAATAAAGGAAGTAATACGTACATGTTGTTTGGGACTGTGTTTGCCATTTGATAATCCATGTCCATTTCGTCTGATCTTTTCCGTTCGAGCAACTTGTTGAAGTATGTGAAGAACTCAACTAGGTTGTCATCTGGTTGAAGGTAGTTTCGGAGGTTGCTGTTACAAGACTCACTCAGCTGTGAGCTTCGCATACCAGCTGTGAAGTGGTCCTTAATCCATGCTGAAGACCACTGTTTTCTCACCTTGTAAATTGAATCCAACCAGTTCCTTGGATTGGTGCCTTCTTCTGGATAATATGTGTCTAGCAACCTTGACCAATTGTACTCAAATTCTTCCTCATTTTCTACTCCAAAAGTGACATATTGTAGATCTTCTAGAATGTTTGTGTTTGTGGTGTCGAGATGCTTCATTGCATTCTGCTTGATATGAAAAGTACACAAGCCATGGAATGCTTCAGGAATGACGGATCTAATCCCAGCGGCGATTGCAGCAGCTTGGTCGGTGAATATTGATGTTGGTCGGCTGCCTGACATACATTTCAAGAATGCATCGAACAACCACTTGAATGTAGCAGTTGTTTCATCATATAGGAGAGCAGCCCCGAAGATGCAAAGTGCACGATGGTGGTTGAAGCCAACAAACAAAGCTGTAAATTAAAAATAAAAAAAAGAACAACATAGAATTAAACATTGAAACAAACAAAGGCTGTCTTTTTTTATATATATGGTGTGCTTCAAGACGTTTTTAGTATGGTTTAGGAGGTTTGTGGTATGCATTGCGTAATGTTTGGTTTGCATTCAATTTCGAAATATCAAGAAAATTATCTAGTGCAAGGAATCCTTCTTAATGCAAACCACAAACCTTTTAATGCACACCACAAATCTTATAAAACAGACCACAAACCTCACAAAGCAAACCACAACATTTGCGGAAGCAGACCAGAAATCTATTAATGCAAACCACAAACCTCACAAAGGAAACCACAAACCTCACAAAGAAAACCACAAACCTCACAAAGCAAACCACAACATTTGCAAAATCCCACCAGAAACCTCCTAATGCATTATGTAATGTTTGGTATGCATTCAACTTCCAAATCTCAAGAAAATTGACTAGTGCAAGGAATACTGACCTAGTGGACGATAATTCTGGTTTGTCCTGTATGTGGTGTCGAAGCTGATCGTATCTCCGAAGCAACTGTAGTCAAACCGCATTCTTGCATCAGCCCAGAATATACTTGCAATATCTTCGTTACTATCTACCTCAATTTCATAGAAGAATGATGGATTCTTGTAAGCTTCATGGCGAAAATGTTCAAGAAGTATAGTTGCTTCGCCTGGTTTCATTGATTTCTGCCTTGTCCCTGTGATATAGTTCTTCAGATCATGAGGGGTAAAAGGTACATTCTCCCTCCCTCCTGAAGTTGTGGTGAACAACTCATATGATTTCCGTAGTGAAACTCCACAATCTGCATGCACTTTTGCGACCATTGCATGCATTTCTGAGATCCCCTTGTTCGACCTCAAGAGATGTTTGAATTTTGGAGGGAGGAGATCATGGTTGTGTTCTGTTATCCACTTGTCCAGCAGCCATTCATCCTTCTCGATATCATATCTGAATTTGATTATAGCTGGGCAGCCAACTCTAGTTTCTGGTACAGCACGTTGATAAGCCTTCACATCTATTGATCCTTTATTCTTGGGATTTGACTTGCTTGTGGTCTTGTATCCTTCTTTGCTGCAGCAATACCTAGCATATCGTGCTGTTTTGGTTGGCTGTCTTTTTGTAGAACGTTTGACAGCTCCCATGTCCCTCACGCTGAAGCCAAGATCGTGAGCATAGTTCTTGTAGAATTGTTTTGCTTCCTCAATGGTTTTGAATGCCAACCCCAAACTAGTGTAGTCTGACTCGGACCTGTTTGATGTCACACCTGTAAGCAATGATGAAAGAAATGAGCACTTGATCATTTCATCTTGCGATAATTTTTGCTAGAAAAGTGAAAAGTGGTTTGGGTTGTAGTTATTCATGATGCTTTTATGACATTTATGGTTTGCATTACAGTGTATGCTTTTTTTTTACAAACAGATTGCGGAATGTAACGATTAACGTTTTAATGGTGTGTATTGAAGGTGTTTTGGTGCGTTTAAGAAGTATTGTGGTTTGTTTTTAAAGTGTTTTGGTTGATTGTCTCTTTTTTTTACTGTGGTTTGTTTTGGGAAGAATGTGGTGTGTTTGGCGATGCTTTTGGTATCGTTTGTGGGATTTTTGTGGGCGGTTTAATCATTTCATCTTGCAATGATTTTTGCTAGAAAAGTGAAAAGTGGTTTGCATTGTAGTTATTCATGATTCTTTTATAACATTTATGGTTTGCATTACAATGTGCTTTTTTTACAAACAGATTGCAGAATGTAACAATTTAGGTTTTAATGGTGTGCATTGGAGGTGTTTTGGTGCGTTTAAGAAGTATTGTGGTTTGTTTCTAAAGTGTTTTGGTTGATAGTCTCTTTTTTTCATGTGGTTTGTTTTGGGACGAATGTGGTGTGTTTGGCGATGCTTTTGGTATCATTTGTGGGATTTTTGTGGGCGGTTTGATTGGTAGTGCTTATGATATGGTAAATGGCTTGTATAAGCGTGATTGTCGTGCTCATTGTAAGAAAACAGGAAGGATTGAGTTGAGCGTACCTTCTTCTTGTTCATTGTTGCCACTGTTGGTGGAAATAGAGGTTTCCAGCTGATATCCAACTTCTGTTGCATTGTCAGAAGATGTTGCAATTTGCAGGAGTTGTTGAGCATCTACAGAACCAACAGAAACTTCATCTACACGATTCTCGTCCATCGTCAATGTCTTAGCTGCGATCAGGAGCTTGCTCAGCCGTCGCCGCCGTTGCTGTAGCTGCTGCGATCAGATCTCGTCGCCGTTGCGTTGCCGCCGTTGCTGTAGCTGCTGCGATCAGATCTCGTCGCCGTTGTTGTAGCTGCTGCGATCAGATCTCGTCGCCGCCGTTGCTGTAGCTGCTGCGATCAGATCTCGTCGCCGCCGTTGCTGTAGCAGCTGCGATCAGGATCTCGTCGCCGCCGTTGCTGTAGCTGCTGCGATCAGGATCTCGTCGCCCCCGTTGCGTCGCCGCGCATTGCTGTAGCTGCTGCGATCAGGCTCTCGTCACCGCCGTTGCGTCGCCGCCGTTGCAGTAGTTGCGTTGCTCCGATGAGGATTCGTCGCCCTCGTTCAGCCTCGGCGCCGCGCGATTGGACAGAGAAAGAAACGGAGAGAGAAACGAGCTGGAAATTTTCGGACAAAAGGAGCTGGAAATTTTCGGACAAAAGGAGCTGCTAATTTTTGGTAGGACAAAAATGCCCTTCCTTTGTATTTTACCCTAGTCAACGCATGAATTTCAAAAGTATGCAGAATGGTGGGTTCCTATTGGTCCACCTATGTTGTTGTTACTATAACAACAAATATGGTGTTGTCACCATATCCGCTCCCAGCTTTTTGGTAGGTTTTTAGTGTGTAGAATAAAAGAGGGTTTCTAGTGAGAGATTATGGTTTACTCTTCCTATTCTAGAGAGAGAGTGTCATTCAAAGGAGGAAGAAGGAGATTTGGGCTTGCCCAAAGCTAGAGGAGTGAAGATTATTTCATCTCAAGGGAGATTCAAGCAAGGAGGAAGGAAGATTGTCATCTCTTCATGGTTATTTCTCTCCTCTTTCTTGTTTTCCTTTGCCTAGTCTAGATGTGTGTTAGGATGTAAGAGTTTGATTCTATTATGTTGATTGTGTGTTTTATATAATATTTGAGGTATTAATCATGAATTATTGAGTGTTGCTTGCATTATCTCATTATTGGTCAAATTAACCTAGAGGGTGGAAATTCCCCTTTGGCCCATGGGGAGCTTGATCTCATAGCCACTTGGGTAACCCCTTCTAGGTTGATCTAGGGCCAAAACCTCAAGTATCGGAGTAGTACCATGATTCCATCATGATTGGTCTCTCCGTCGTCCGAATTAAGTTCTGAGGGATTGGTTTGCAATCCTTAGTTGACCGGTTTAGAGGCGCTAGATCGTCTAGCCTATTGTTGTAATCCTTAACCGAAAGGTTAAGAGAGTTAGACCACTAACTTGATGCAACAATCCTAAATTGGTCAACTAAGAGAGTTAGGATTTCTTCGGTTGGTCGGTTAAGAGAGCTAGATTCTCTAGCTTCTTGTCACAAGCCTTAATCGATCGACTAGGAAAGTTTGTCCTAGCTAGTTGCACCCTCCTAATGGTATATGAACACATCCTTCACACTAGAATTTCGTTCATGCTTTCTTAATACGAGACTAGGGGAAGCAATACCCAAGTGAAGTCCTCTCATATAGAATTCCCCCCCCCCCCCCGAATTACTTCCCTTGTTTGTGTATTTTGTAGTTTTCTTAGTTTTAAAACAAAAGTCGTTTGCCAGATAACAACCTAAGCGATTGAAGTAGGGGTATATGGACCGGCCGGGTTTGACGATTAAAACATATTTTCCCTATACTGCACCCGACTAGAGTTTATGTTAGAGCTCTAGTCGGAATTTAATTCGCGGTGTATCCGTGGTGAGTCATCCTCACACATTCAATTAATTATATTGTTTGTGGATGTTTATCTTTAATATTGAACAATTAGTATGAATGATTTGTGAGTTACTGTGTATGTAGTAGACAATAGTAGTGAAAAATAGTGTAATTGCATATTTGTACATGGACCCTGGACCCATGTGCACCCATGAACCCGCGGATACCTAGCGAGTTGGGTTGGGTTTGAATTTTCCAAATCTAGTGGGTTTTACCCAAGATTTTTTTGTGTGGATAAACCCATGGGTTTGCCATAACCCTCCCCATTGCCATCTCTAATCACAACTGGACAGAGGAATACCGGATGGTGGAGGAGTCTATGTAAGAAGGCTTGAGCATAGTTCATCATTTGCAATGGCGTATGGCGGGAAATGGAAGAAGATGAAGTTTGAATGCGTTTCGGACTCAAATACGACTCATTATATGGAGAACGTTTCGAGCATTCATCATAAAGGCATTGACATCATTTTATCATTAGTTGAGTTAGTTTCCTTTTAGCTTTACTCTCTTCACCACATGTCAAGGTGAATTTGGATTTCTGTTTTATTTACCGTTGTAAACTGTAAAACTTGAAGCTAGGTATAAATAAGAAACAACCCATCAAATCGTTCCTTGTGGGTTTCCCGAATCGGCCTCTGTTAGCTCGATATGTTCTTCATGGTATCAGAGCCTCAGATCTGAAATCTCTCTCCCAGTCGCGATGTCTGGTAATTCCGGCGCTAGTACTCAGTCGTTTACTCCACCTGGCACAGGAGCTCGTTCTGCCGCCGCCGTCCAATGTGGGAGTTACACAGAGAATTCAAATTAGGGTAGCATTGGTGAGGTTCACATTGAAACCCACTTTTATCTCAATCCAAATGAGAATTTATCCTAGTCGATCATCGCTGAGGTTTTGGATGGCACTAATTAATCCATGTGGAGTCGATCTATGCATATGGCGCTCAAAACTAAGCACAAACTCAGATTCATTGATGGATTAATTCAAGCTCCCTTGCCCACTGATGCTCAGTTCTATTTGTGGGATCCGCGGAGTGGATCGGCAATGAGCTTCAGGGAGGAGGCGGCGACGACGGTGTGAAGGTAAAATCCCCCCCCCCCCCGGCGTTTGTTTGGAACACAATGGCAATATTTTATAAATTTAATGAATAGTGAAGGGAAATTGGGTTTTTTTAGCGTGCTAGGACGGTTTTGGAACAATAGTGAAGTTTGGGCGTCAATAAGTAATTTTCCATGCCAAGTATTAGTTGGTAATTAGCAAAGGTTTGGGTCTCAAATTGAAATGAGTCTTTTTGGACCGAATTGTTAAGATTTGAAAGTGGGTAGGGGCTGCTGGACAAAATTGATCAATTCTGGAAATTTGGGGTTTAATTGATAGGAACCAGAAAATTCGGGCATTATTTTGTAATTTGCCATTTTAGGGCAAAAAGGTAATTTTGAAGAATTTTGCAGGGAACTTAGGGAAAATTAAAAGAAGGAGTTTGGTTATTGGAATCAATCAAATTGGAGATCTTTTGGTTAGTAACACTAGTAGAAAGAAGTATTAAGTTTTTGCCTAAATACTTAATAGGAGAAAATGCAAAAGAAAGTTAAGCACGAGGGGTTTGGACGTGGAATCTCGGACGATAACATGGGTCAACTGGCAATGAAGAAGGGGCGTCTTTTCAAGGTGAGTGTAAAGGGGGGTAAAATCTCCGTCGAAGTCTTTTAATTTATATATTTTATTTCAAGTTATGCTAGTTAATTTTTGAGTTATACGCGTTTATGTGTGTGAGGCATCCCATCGCCTACTTAAGGTGGAGGCATCCGTTTTGCGATATATATTATTGTGTTTGTGATGTATGGTTATTGGTAATTGAATCCCAGGACGGTTGGGCCACTACTAGACGCGGTAGATGGTCGGGTCACTACTAGATGACGATACGTAATGCAATAGTTGACCGGGCATGAGCTGGACTGCGATGCGTAACGCAGTACCATTACCTTGAAGATAGGGACACCGGACAGCGATAAGTAACGCGATAGATCCTAGTAATGTGTAGGAGTTAAGATAGAAGTAGAAAACTTATATAAGCTATTAAGGACTAAATTATTAAGGATGAAAGCGAGAACGACTTTCATGTAAGAGGAAAGTAACAGCTAATAACGTATCAGTAAGAGTTTACTTAGGCAAAGACCTTAGGAAGCAATGACAAGACTGACCCCTTCTCACTCACCAAGTTGAGGAAGGGTTAGCGGATGTGGATCACGAGAAGAGGCTGGGCGAGGCGAGCGACAACACGAGCATTGGCGAGGTCTCCGAGAGCTCAGTTAAGACCCAGAGTTAGATTTACTTAAGTTGTTGCACTTTGTGATTGAGTATGTACTAGAGATAAGGTTGAGACTTCCAAGTTTGAGTTCTCCCATGTGTTTAGGGCATTGCATTTGATGTATTTCGTTTGAAAGGTTTCAGTTGTATTTGTTTAATGAAAAATTTTGAGATTGTTGTTAATCGACTCCGGAGCCATGTGTATTTCAGTATGTTCAAAGAATCAGGATGTTTCAGAGCCATTCAATGCATTTTCCTTGGTTACCCTACTGGGATCAAGGGTTACAAGCTACTTGATTTGTCCACTCATAGAGTCTTCACCTCCCGCAATGTTATCGTTTATGAGACCATTCTGCCTTTCAAGTCTCTTCCTGAAACTACTTCTCCAGCTCGCATTCCAACTTATTCCGATTCTCCACCTTTGGCTCCTTATTCTATCCCTTTTCCTCCTCCCATCCAATCCACCTGTTTCTGAGGAATCAAGGGAGGCCAGTCCCTCAGTTCCTTCCACTTCCACTTCTGATTCCTCAGCCACAGTGCCTTCCCCTTCTCTTAATACTCATTGTTCCCCTTCTTCTCCTGTTGATCAGCTAGAAGAGCTAGACTCTAATGATACTGAAGCCTCAGAATTGGTTCCCCAAGCCGACTTTGAACCAAAACTAGTTCGAGCTAATAGGGGTCAGTTACATGTCAATTTTAGAGATTATTATATTGGCTTTGCTAGCAAATATCCCATGGACAGTTATCTCAATTTTGATTCTCTTTCTCCTACTGATCGAGCTATGCATTAAGTGTGGTTTCTGAGATAGAACCTACTACCTATGCCGAAGCAGCTCAAATATGAGCAATGGATGAAGAAAGGGAAGCACTAGAGGCAAACCACACATGGGATGTTGTTCCATTACCTCCTGGTAAAAAGAAAATAGGGAATAAATGGGTTTACAAAATTAAAAGGAGACCAGATGGCCAGTTTGAGAGAAACAAAGCCAGACTTGTTGCAAAGGGCTTCACACAGGTATATGGAATCTATTTTTTGGACACATACTCACCTGTGGCCAAAATCAATTCTATTAATATCTTATTAGCAATTGTTGCAAGTAAAGGATGAGGTTTAGACCAAATGGATGTTTTTATTGCCTTTTCACATGGTGATTTGGAAGAGGGAGTATACATGGCCTTACCACCTGGTTATCCTCGTGCAAATGGACCATAGAAGCTTGTTTGCAGACTAAGAAAGTCTTTATATGGTTTGAAGCAGACAAGTAGGCAATGGTTTGCCAAACTCACCTCATCTTTGCTTAAACATGGATTTGCACAGTCTACCTCAGACTATTATATGTTCACTAAGTGGGTTCATGGTCGATTTGTGGTGCTGTTAATTTATGTCGATGACATAATCTTGAGGGGAGATAACAGGAAGGATGTTGAAGAAGTAAAGAGGTTACTTAGTGAGCAGTTTAATATGAAGGATCTGGGTACTTTAAAGTATTTTTTGGGTTTGGAAATTGCTAGAAGCAGTGCATGAATTGTAGTTTGCCAACGCAAATACTGCCTTAAACTATTGAAAGATACATGGTATCTTGATGCTAAGCCTTGTAAGTCACCTTTTGACCCTAAGATGAACTTAAGAGCTGAGCAAAGACAACCATTAGATGATCCTGAACAGTACAGGAGACTTGTGGGAATGTTGCATTATCTGATAACAACCAGACCTAACCTTACCTTTCCTATGCAACATCTTAGTCAGTTTCAAAAGGATCCTTACACTGACCACCTTCAGGCAGCTTACAGGGTACTTAGGTACATCAAAGGAACACCAAATCAAGGGATCTATTTCAAGAGTGAGTCTTCATTACAACTTTCATGCTATAGTGACTCTGATTGGGCAAGCTGCCCTAACTCAAGAAGGTCGGTCTATTAGTGGTTATTGCACGTTTTTGGGTGATTCTCTAGTAACCTGGAAAGCGAAGAAACAAACTATGTCCAGATCCTCTTCAGAAGCAGAGTATCGAGGTTTGGCCCAGCTGGTATGTGAGTTGCAATGGATGAAAGATCAGTGATTCATATTGCTGAAAACCCAGTGTTTCATGAAAGGACCAAGCATATTGAGATCGATATGAATGTAACTAAGAACAGGGTGAAATCAGGATTAATCGAGCTTCTTCATGTTAGAACAGTTGATCAAGTTGTTGATCTCTTTACTAAGGCCATGAGCAGGTTTCGAATTGCAGAGTTACTCGACAAGCTTGGCGTGCAGACAATCCAGCTTGAGGGAGGCTGTAGCCTGTAAGAAGGCTTGAACAGAGTTCATCAGCGACAATGGCGTCTGGTGGGAAATGGAAGAAGAAGAAGTTTGAATGCGTTTCGGACTCGAACACGATTCGTTATATGGGGAACGTTTCAAGCATTCGTCTGAAACACATTGACGTCGTTTTATCATTAGTGGAATTAGATTCCTTTTAGCTTTACTCTCTTCACCACGTGTCAAGGTGAATCTGGATTTCTGTTTTATTTATCGTTGTAAACAGTAAAACTTGAAGCTAAGTATAAATAAGAAACAACCCAGCAACTCGTTCCTTGCGGGTTTTCAGAATCAGCCTTTGTCAGCTCGATATTTTCTTCAGTCTAATGGTAGGACGAAGTAGGATTGTTTGAGTGCTTTCGGCCGGCGCCGGAGGTGGTTTGGAGTGTTGTCGGTAGGGTCTCGTTGGAAGAAGGCGATGGAAGATTAGAGATTTAAAGATGTGTTTGTCTTGATGATTTTCGATTAATTCATTAAAGTTATTTTAGTAAATTTATGTTTTAATTTAGAACTAGGGGTGTCAGTTCGGGTCGGGTTCCGTTACCCAAACCGAAACCCGAAAACCCGAAATCGAAAATCACTAAAACCGAACCCAAACCCGAAACCCGAAAATTCCTTATCGGGTTTGGGTTCGGTTAAAGCAAAATCGAAACCCAAAAACCCGAACGCCTAAAAATACGGGCTGAGTTCTATTCATTGGAGGTTTTTAGCTGGAACCTGAAAAACCGATAAGCAAAACCGAACCCGAAACTGAAAAACCCGAAACCCGAAACGAACCCGAAAAACCAAAAATGTATATAATCGGGTCGGTTTCGGGTAAACCCGAAAAACCGAACGCGAATTGACACCCCTAGTTAGAACAAAAATGATAAAACTAGGAGGATATTTAATGATTCAGTTTTCATAAACATCTATTTTTTTTGTTCTACTGTTTTCATAAACATCTCTTATAAAATAAAGGGTAATGTCTATTTTTTATCCAAACATTTTTCATATTCTTTTATATTATCCAAACCTATTAAAATGCTATTAATTAGCCAAATCTTTCGTAATGCATAAAAGTATTAGCCATTTTACGTTAACATTAATAATTTTGTAACTCTTTTCTTAGTTAAAATACTAAAATTTTGGAAAGTGATGTTCATGTGTCTCTTCCAAGTCAGTATTATGTTGCCAAGTCAATATTACTAACAAAATTGCTAACTGGAAGTTAACATTTGGTTAATTCTTAGTATTTTGATAGGTTTGAATAATATAAAAGAATCTGACAAAGATTTGAATAAAAATAGAAATTACCAAAAAAAATGTTTTCATAAACATATCTCTTGTTTTCAGATGCGATAAGAGTTTGGGTGGATTCCGGTGAGGGCTGGTGGCGGTGGAGGAGAGGCAGAGGAAGGTGTGTATTCCGATTGTGAGGGGAATGGCGGAGTGGTTTGCGATAGGCGAGAAATGATTTTCTTTTCTTTCTTTCTTTGTTTCTTTTTTTTTTTTTGTAAAATTTTCCTTTCTTTCTTTATGATTAATATATGAATTTTTATTTTTTTTTTAAATTAAAAATATGACGTGTCACCTACGTGGCGAATGTGGCTGATTTGTAGCTGACGTGTGCGATGATTTGGTGTCCTAGTCAGCCTAACGTTAAACTAACTGACAGAGTCTCTAACACCATTAAAATTTGTAACGGAAATGGCTATATTTGGCACAAAAGTTTCAAAATTCTGGCTATAAGTGGTATTTCTCCAAATTTGGCTATTATTGGCACAAACGCAAAAGTTTTGGCTATACAAGCGTATTTTGCATTTTCTTAATTATTCCTTAAGTCATGGATTTTGAGACAATAAGAGGGTTTTTTATTTGGTAAGTTTTTGTTTTAACTTTTATTTTAATTGAATTAAAAAATAATGACATGGCACCCATGCATCAGCCACGTCAGCAACATTTTGCTGAGTCGTTCACGGATAGATGTTTGACCGTCAATATAAACGATCAAAAAAATTTTGGGCCAAATTTGTCAATTAATTTGAAAAGTTGGCCACAACTGTCTTATTGAAAAATTCGGGCCAAAATTGACACTCACGCCAAACTTCGAGCCAAAATAGGGTATTAAGTCTAAAATATATGCAATCCATTGTTTTCAGCACTGTCTTTCACAATAGGATATTTGTAATGTATGCCGCCAACAAAGAGAGGCAAAAGAGGAAAAACTTTATGCTATGACTATCTGATATGTCTATCTTCTCACCATAGTGAGTGATCCAAAAATAGTAAAAAGGGAAATGCAAGTTTGGAATGATGGTTGGTGATAGGGTAGTGTAGAACAGACTCGTCCTACTCGTCGTAGTCAACTATGTCGTCATGCTTTCATTTGGAGTGAGTGATAGGTGTTCCCTTAGCCAAACCATCTTTGGGAGTCTGCACCTCAGACGCAATGTTCTCAGTTGATACTTGTGTTGGTGATATTGGCGGGCATCCACTGGTAGTCAGCGATAGGCAAGATGAATGGGCGCTCTGGATGCCATCCTATATGGAAACCATAAGCACGATAAAGATAAAAAAATTTGACAAAGATGTAACAGCAACATAAGAAAGAAAGCACATTAAGATATGATTAATGATTTTAAATAAGCAAGCCTCATTTTCCTTGACAGCAGTTGGAGTTCTTCTCGTAGTTTTGTACCCGGTTGTTGACCGGGTAATGTTTGTATACAATAACCTTTGGCCAAGTTCTTCTTTTTGTTGGAGAGTTAACTCTGTCCTGAGCTGCTAGTATAATATGCTAGATCAATCAACCAACATCCTCTATAGTCTTCCAAGAACTTTATGTTTTTTTTTTTTGTTTGTGTTTTCACCCCTTACAGTACTCCCTATTTTGCTCAATCTATCTCTGTCTACTCTCACCCTCTCTTATAACCTTTCCTGTGAAAACTATGAACTATGAACCCCAATGCCTCCTTCCTAAAATTACATGTAATGTGTGGGAAACATAATTATTAGCTGTTTTCGGTTATTTCGTATTAGTGTCGGGTTTTATGGAGTGGGGGATTATTTGGGTATTTGGGGGAATAAACAGGGAGTTAATTGTTATGTTTTATTATTCGGGTAGCAGATAGGAATTAGACAGGTTATATAATCTGTAATAGGGTCTTATTTTGGGATTAAGCAATAACAGAACCAAAAACCTAAAGCCTAATTCCCTCTTCCCTCTCTCTCTCCTGCGTATCCTCCCTCCCCTTTCCTTCTCCAAAGCTGCGGCTGCAGCACCCCTTTTCCCTCTTCTTGTTCTCAAAATCCCCAATTCTAATCCCTAGTTAGATCAATCCCTAATTGATCTAGCTAAATTCCCCAATTCCCAACCTGTAGGAAATCTTGTTTCCTACATCTGGTATCAGAGCCTGGCTCGAGAGTGAGTTCATCTGAACTCTTGAACCAGGGAAAGCAACGATGGTGACAACGAAATCGATGAAGGCGGCGGAGGAGAAGGCGCAGGCAGCAGAGAGGAGCACCGGTACGGGTGGTGTTGATCGCGACGAGGTGGTGATGGAGGACCTCACTGAGCTGGAGGCGGTGAAGGAGGTAGTGCACGAGCACTCTGAGGCGCTGGCTAGTCTCGAAGAAGGCTTGGCAAGAGTGCAGGCTGATGCGAAGGAGGATGCTGACGATCTGCGTCAGAGGCTGGAGGACCTGATGAGGGCAATTACCTCGTTGCAGGCAAGAGGAAGCGGCCTAGAAGGAGCGCCGATCACGGCGGAGCCGGCGTTGGCAGGAGGCGGCGGTCTGGGCGCGGCAGAGGCGGCTGCGGGCGGCGGGGCGACTGCGCAGGCGGCACTGGCGGCGCCGGCGGGTGCCACGGCGACGGAGGTGGGGGCGGGCAGCGGGCCCGGCGGCGGGACGATCCCGACGGGGGTGTCGGCGGCTCGGGTTGCCGCGCCAGTCGAGAGGGCCGAAGGGGGCAGGGCTGGGCGGACTGCGTTAGGGCTGGGCTCGGGCTCGGGCCTGTTACCTACACCCACGGCCCAAGAAATTGCGGCCCGCAAAGGAAAGGCTAAGATGGCTGGGTATGACACGGATGGGCCTCCTATGAATGGTGGGCCGGGCTAGCTGGGTCACTACACAAGGGTCCATAACGGACTGGGATGGCTGGATCTGGAAGGTGGGCCTGAGTATGATCAACTAAGCCTGGCGGGCCAGCAGGCCCAGTGGGCTGAACAGGAGATGAGCCAGAAGGGGCCTGGTGGGCCGAATAGGTCCGCGGACCAGATTGGGCCGGGCGGGTCGGCTCCTATTGGGCCGGGGCAGGCGGACGGGTCAGGAGGGGGTCGAACCGAACTGGAGCGAACCGGGATTGGTCGGAACAGTGCTGATCGGACCGAGTTGAGCCGAACCGGGCCGGGTCGGACCGGGACGGGTCGACCCGAGGTGGGTCGAACCGGGCATCGACCGAGTCCAACCGCTCAGCCGAACCGGAGGGCGGACAGCAGGGGTCCAGGAGGAGGAGAGGGCCCATATGAGGCGCCTCATGTCCCAGGGGGATACCCGAATCAGCCGGGCTACTACCCGGGTGACTATGGACATGGGAATCCTAACCAGATGCAGTGCTCTCAGTGGGGGCAGCCATGGAGAACGCCAGGAAATGACAGGTATGGGTCCCAGTATCCAAACTATGAGGGAATGGATGGGATAGTTTTTCGAGCTAAGCCTCCTACCATTGAGTTTCCAAAATTCAATGGGCAGGAGGATGCAGGTCTTTGGTTATATGCAGTTGAGAGGTGGTTTAAGAATCACCCAATTCCGGAGGAGAGGAAAGCCTACCTGGCCTCGTTCTATTTGGAGGGCGATGCGCTCCAGTGGTGGGAGTGGATGGAGAGATCCTATGCAGCGGCAGCAACCTTGATTACCTGGCCCATGTTTCAGGAGGAGCTCCGTTATCAGTTTGGTAAGTCTGATGGGTGGGCTCCTGAGCAGTTGGCGAAGCTGAAGCAGACCGGCACGGTGGCTGAGTACCGTGCGGAGTTCTTCAAGTTAGGGAACCAGTGTAAGGGAGTCTCGGAGGACACCTTGGTGGGGCTGTGCATGGCAGGTCTCAAACCTGAGATAGCCGCGGCTGTCAGAGTGTTCGAGCCCGATTCTGTGAAAACTGCTTTTCGTCTTGCAGGTCATAAGGAGGAAGAGTTGGCTAGCTGGAGAAGCACCATTGGCCGGTTCTCAAGGCCAAGCGGAGGTGGAGGAAGCAGCAGTACTGGTGGCGGCCCAGGAGGGGCAACCGGGGGAGGCTCGACTGGAGCCAATGCGGGCAGTGGGGGACCGGCTCCGGTAGCAAGGGTGGGGCCGCGGGCTATACCGAAGGGATTCGTGCGACTGACACCAGCAGAGATCGAGCAGAAGAGGCGGGAGGGCAAGTGCTTCAACTGTGATGGCCGGTTCACCATTGGTCACCAGTGCCCGAAGCCGGACTTGATGATGCTGGTTGGACGTTGGGAAGATGAAGCAGAAGAAGAAGCTGAGGAGGATGGAAATGGAGAGGAAGATGCCTAGTGAGCTGGAGGAACAACCTTGGGGACAAGGTTGTTTTTCGAAGGAAGAGGGGATGTGGGAAACATAATTATTAGCTGTTTTCGGTTATTTCGTATTAGTGTCGGGTTTTATGGAGTGGGGGATTATTTGGGTATTTGGGGGAATAAACAGGGAGTTAATTGTTATGTTTTATTATTCGGGTAGCAGAAAGGAATTAGACAGGTTATATAATCTGTAATAGGGTCTTATTTTGGGATTAAGCAATAACAGAACCAAAAACCTAAAGCCTAATTCCCTCTTCCCTCTCTCTCTCCTGCGTATCCTCCCTCCCCTTTCCTTCTCCAAAGCTGCGGCTGCAGCACCCCTTTTCCCTCTTCTTGTTCTCAAAATCCCCAATTCTAATCCCTAGTTAGATCAATCCCTAATTGATCTAGCTAAATTCCCCAATTCCCAACCTGTAGGAAATCTTGTTTCCTACATAATGTAAGCACTTGGATATTTGAAATTCACAAGAGTACTTTTTAGAGAAGGAAACTAAGTAATATGAATGAATGGATCTATCTATCAACCTAAAGGGGAGAAAACAGTGATGATATTAATCACTTGCATATTAAAGGAACCCTGCACAATTATCATTATAAGAAAAGGAAGGAAAAATCGAGTCATCTGCCAAAATATGTATATGAGTTTTTGGAGAAGGGAAAGCCAATTCTCATCATTTCTTCGAAAAGGAACCCGTGGTAGTAATAAGAAGAGAAACATAAGGGGAAAAGATGGATACCCAAACAACAGGAAACCAACATAATGGATGAGAAATGATGAAAGTCCCCAAACCACAACATACAGAACAGGGGAGGATCAATCCCCTCGGCCCATCTGAACTTAAATGCATTAGTTATCAAAATTCCTTGTTGCAACTCTCGCCGAGCAATCAGAATAGATTAATAGACTAATTCCCAATTTTTATCAAACCCCAGTAATTCATATCATCGCAAAATCACCAAGAATAATCTCATAACCCCAATAATACCTTGCAACAGTGAGCCACAAACATGGGATGTAATTTGGTACCAGAGTAATCAATTAAAATACCAGCAACCAGAATTCTATCCTACAGGTCACTGCATATCAGTCGTGGTCATCTATAAAATCACAACACTAAAAGGCTGAAATTCACCAGCTGGAATGCCGATCCGGCGGGGAAAAATCTATCCCTATGAATTCTTGACAAAATTTTAAACAGAAAGCAAAAACAAAGTCAAACCGAGCTGGAAGGAGAAGATGAAGATGATGACGGGCCAACTTAGGTCTGGAAGGTGCTGCAACAAATACTCCATGGCGACCCCACTTATTACTGGATGAACCTTGAATCCAATGACATATCCTACAACTGCAAGAGGAGGAAAGTGGTCGGAAATATGAGGAATCAACAGTGGCAAGAAAACATAGTCTCCATCGCTGCTAGTTCCGAAATTAGGGCGGTGGAAGGCCAGCAGTTTTTCAAGGTGGCAGTTCAGGCCAGCTGTATACTGTAAGTTGGCCCGGTCCAAATAAGAACAAAGAAAAAAATATGAGACTCCATATACTATCCTTTCTACAAATGCTCTTGGAGCAGAGATTTTGAAATGGGGCTACTCATTTTTCCTTGCTGCTATTATATTACTAGCTTTTTACCCGGCCAGTTGGCCGGAGACATTTATTTCATAATTTATATTAATTAACTTATTTATATGTTTAAGTCATTTTGGATCTTCTAAATATTTTGTGTTCTTATTCATAAAAGAGTTTGTAGTATGTCTATATTGGAAATTTCCAATATTTAGCACACTCACTTCTGATGCTTTGATTTTCTAATCATAAATTATGTCGATGTCACGTCCCATTTAGAACTTATGTCAAAATTTGTCAACCAAAGCACTGATATTTAGCGTACGCCTAACTGAACCACACACACATATGTATATATATATATATATAGTTCAATCTAGCGTGCGCCAGGAGTACGCTATACTCTTGCGTTCACACTACCATATGACCATTGAGTTTTACTATTTATACTCCAGATTTTTTGGGGGCATGATACTATACACTAACCTCTAATTTATGCAAATACTTTGTCATACCTATCTTCTATCGTATCTTGAGTAAAATCAAAAGATAGTATACCTTGATATTATATATATGTATATATGTGTGTGTATATATATAGTAGACTCAAAATTATCCGGATACTTCGCGAGACCTATCTTATCTCGTCTAATACTCATATTAAAAGTGCTACTTGCCTATCCCCCACCCTCGGGATAGAGATCCCGCTTTTACCCCCATAACGTTAGACAACCATTGGGGTTGTCTATCATTTGATATGTAATATATAAAGAGACAAATCCTAAGATCCAGCTAATTATTTCTTATCCTCTCCCGCCGCCCCCTTTATGGAGAATAAAATGGTAGGGATGACAGGATCATAGCTCAATATGGTTTTATTCTATTCATCGTATCGCGTCCGTCAAATTCAAGCGTTGGTACATTATACTGGGTGGCAACTTTTTGGTACATGGGTTGAGAGGTTATGTTCTTTTTTGATTTTTTGGGGCTTCTTTTCATTCTTTTTTGGCACCTATGGTTGTGATCAGAGGTATTTAGCACCCGAAAGGGATTGGGATTTTAGGTCCTTTGGAAATCCAATACACATTCATGATCCTAAAGTTTGGACGAACTCTCGACCAATGTTTTATAGATTAGGACTTTTTAGTGAGAAATTCTTAGTAAAGATACTTCATTATTGGATCAATTTATTCATCCATATTGAAACTTGACACACAGCGTAGCACTCGTGATAATTAAATTCTATAATCTTGACTCATTTCCATTTTGGATGATAGTTTTTTTTATCAAGACACTTAAATTTAGTATATTATACAATATGTATCAATTGTTAATTTTTGAAGTTTAGATGAAACTTCAACCCGTGGTCATTGTTTATATGTTGGCTTAAAATCTCAATCTAAGACATTCGCACACACTATCGAGGATTTTGGTTTTAACATGGTCGTTGAATGTGTAATTTTCAAATATTTTATCACTTATATATTCATATTTAATAAAGAGTGTCTACAATACACACATATTTCAAGTGCATTTAAAAAGTCTTATCATTTGAGCGATATTGATGGATTTCATTTGATTATTTGCATTAACTTTTTTTTATAAGGGTGATATAGGTTTTTTTTTTGTTATTAGGTACTACTGAAGGGATTCAAACCTGGTACCTCCAGGCTCATGGCTAGTGGTATTACCTAGGGGTGGCCATTGGGTGGGTCGGGTGGATTTTGACCATAAAATGCACTCACCCGCGCTTAAACGGATTGATAATTTTTAACCCACCATCCACCCACATTTAGTCTCGGGTTGGGTCGGGCGGATGGTGGATGATGCGGGTGGGTTTGTGGATTCACCCACATCACAATGTATATAATATAAAGGAGTCAACTTGACATGATAATAGGTGAAGAGAATCATCAAGGGAAACAAGAAGTTGAAATAGGGCAAAAAATTTCGAATTAGTTCTTAAATTGGATAGAAATACTATTGTGAAAGAGTTTTCTACAGATTGAGACGATTATTAGGTGCAAGGAACTAAGGAAAATAATTCCACAAAGGAAAGAGCGGTGATGTAGGCACAAGAATTAGAGGAAAAAGTAAAGGGAAGAAGAGGAGATCTCTATTTGGAAGGTTGGCTTTGAGGTTCAAACTCCAGGAGCAGTATGAGTTTATATCTAACGTCTCCACTCTCCTCTCTCTAGCGCCAACGACTTTGATCTTTTAGCTGTTGGGTTGAGCGGGTCACCCGCACACTCACCCACAACCCACCCACCACCCGGCGGATGGCTCCCAGCGCAACCCGTCACCCACCCACAGACCCACCAACTTAACGAAATTCGGGTCAAATGCGGGTGGGCCGGCCCAAATCCGCGGATGATCCGCCCGCATGCCTAGCCCTAGTATTACCACTAGACCAATCCCTTGTTCATGATTATTTGCATTAACTTATTATCTATACAACATATATCAATTCGTGTTTCTCGAGTTTTGACGAACTGGCAACCAATTTTGAGAGTTGAGATTATTGGATAAAGATACTTGATTGCTGGATAAATATGTTTATCCCAATTGACTATCTTACTAAAAATTGACAACCTTTATTTGGTAAATGTCTAGGTTAGTAGTTGATGAAATGCGATGTTTATCGTAGATTCTTAACAAAGATTCTCTAACCTTCCTTTATGTTATTTTTCAAGAAATCTTGTGTCTCATCCTAGGGTATGAAGTCAAAGTTCGTCAACAATCATACTTAAGTCATTTTGAAAATTTTGATTTGTAATTGTTGACGATAACTCCAAGTCTGAAAGAAAATTTCTAAGCATACGACTTAGGACCTTAATAGAGCTTGCTCAATCAACATTATATAGTATAAATATTATTAATGTGAACTTAGAACACATTATAAATTATTGCACATGCGATTTCTCTTCATTTGAGGAGTTTAAGGTAGAAAATGATATGAGCAATAAGAAGTCTTTTTTAAATAAATAACTATAACTACTCGATCAAGATTATACTCTGACATTTTGCTAAATAATAATTATTTTATTTTATAGACATATAATTTACGAATAAGAGAGTGTTTCATTGCAACAAAATATACTGTAATATAGTTTATTTTTCATAGATAATTGAATGTCAAATGTTTATTTTTTCTCTTTTCATATAAATTCTGTTTAATCAAAAAAATATTATTGTTTATGTGTATGTTTGTTTAATTTTTTCATCAAAATGTAACTTATCATTTATATTTTTTTACTGGACAAAAAAATTATTATTTATGTGTGTGTGGTTAAGTTAATCAACATGTAACTTATTATTAAAGAAAAAAATGGATAAAAGAAATGCAATATTAAAGAAGAGAGAAGTAACTCCATAAATACATTAATAACTAATTTTTTTTGTTTGTAAAAAAGTTGTCCAAGTTGGCAAATTGTGGATCCTCCATGTGCTTATGTGGCAAGAGATTGCTTTTGAATTGTCATAATATATAGTATAGATAGATATAGATAGATATAGATAGATAGATAGATAGATAGATAGATAGATAGATAAAATTTAGTAAAAATGAGTAAAAGTTTTACTTCATAAGCTTTAATTAGATATTTTTTATTTAAACAAATGTGGTATATGTTCCTTTCTGTTTTCTTATTTATATATTTTTTTACTGGACAAAAAAATTATTATTTATGTGTTTTGGTTAAGTTTATCAACATGTAACTTCTTATTAAAGCAAAAAAAAAAATGGATAAAAGAAATGGAAATATTAAAGAAGAGAGAGGTAGCTCCATAAATATATTAATAACTAATTTTTTTGTTTGTAAAAAAGTTGTCCAACTTGGCAAACTGTGGATCCTTCATGTGCTTATGTGGTAAGAGATTCCTTTTGAATTGTCATAATATATAGGGTTAATACCACTGGAAATACCATCCTTTAGAGAAAGTGCCATTTATATTACATCTTTTTCGAAATGCCATTTGTATACTAAAATGTCTTCTCCGTTAGTTGGGTCGTTAAACATAACTGTGCGACTTTTCAACGCACAGTCAGCGCTTAATAGGAGCCTACGTGTCGCTGACGTGGTTTATTTACTGGAAAAAAAAAACAAGTTAAAAGTAAAAACCAACCGGCTCGGGCTCCCCTTTACTCTTTTCATTCTCAACCTTTCCCCTCTCCCTCGACTGCGAAACACAGAAGAAGAACCCTAGCTTCGTCTTCCGAAAAAAATTTCCCTAAATCGGAGAGCTGGGCGGAATCAATCGGCGTGCGAGTAGAGGCGAAGGCTTCGGATCGTTGCTAAGAGTGAGATCGGAGGAGCGGAGCGGTCGAATCGGCGCCGAGCTTCTTCGAGTGCTTCACCTTCATCTCTGTGTTTGGAGAAGAAGAGCCAGAAGTGAAGCAAGATTGCGAAGGAGTAGCAGGAGTTACTCCCTCGTCCTGAGTCTTCTCCTTAACCAAGCATAGAAGGTGATTGCGAAGAGGAGCTTTGTCGGCAGAGTTTCTAGGGTTTGCGAAGAGGGGAAATAAAATTTGCTCCCCACATCTGGGTATTTATAGTAGATTTCTGGTGGTGGGTACGAAAGTAGATGGAGAAGAGTAAAGGTGGGTGTACAGTTGAAGATTCCTTCCAAAAGGTTGGACCACGAGTTTGAGTGTGAAGACGATTTTAGCCCTACTGCTTGGTGAAAAACAGGTTTTTGCTGCTTCCTTTGTCTAGTTTTTTGGACAATTTGATAGAATAGTGATTGTGGATTGCTGTGTTATCGTTGTCTAGTAGTTGATGTCTCGGCTGTAGGTAGTTTTTTGCTGTATTTTAGTCGGATTGTGTTGGGGAGTTGTTTGCTTGTTTAATTGTGTTGACAGTTTGGTTGGGAAATGAAAGGAAATATTGTATTTTATTGCAGGATGGCTAATGAGATGGTTGAGCTT